TTTTTATACTAAGCCACGTTGGTATGCTCCCAAATTATCAACAAGTTGCTCAAGTACTTGGTCCCAGCTTTCTTGTCTAAATTTTTTTTTTCTCTTGGTTATTTTGGAATCTGATGTGGAAATCTGTCCTTTTGGCCCTCAATAATTGATGCATACATTTAGTTCAAAAATAGGAATAATAACAAGAGGGAATAGAAACTTAGTTGTGACTACTTGAGTATCTTAATGGTGAGTATTGACAAGAAGGCTTCTGGTTCATGCGTTGTTGTTGTGCTTGTAATACTTTTAATTAAGTTTTCAAAAGACATTATGGACTAGGAAATAGTGGAGTGTAAATTGTGATATGGAACATTAGAGGTGAATAAATGTAGAAGCTTATTGATGCTAGAACGTGGTTAAAGTTGTCTCCGTGTGACCTATAGGTCACGGGTTCGAGCCGTGGAATCAGCCACTGATGTAAGGAGTAGGCTGCGTACATCACACCCTTGGGGTGCGGCTCTTCCCCGGACCGTGCATGAATGCAGGATGCTTCGTGCACCAGGCTGTCGTTTTTTATTGATGCTAGAACAGAAAGCTCTTTTTCACCAGAGAAAATACTATTGTGATGATGTAGTCAAATTTCAAGGCAAGTTCAAGAATACTGGATGTTTCAAACATATGTTGTGAATCTTAACATGTTGAAAGCCATATGATTAGTATATTCCTCAGTATTGGCATGATTAAATTGTTGTTAATTAGATATAGATCCTTGGATGATATAGTGAGGGGAGGACAATATGAAGTTCAATTTTTTTCATCTTCCATGCAGATGTCTTTATTGGTGTGAACATTGGAACAGAACTTTCGGACATGCCTCATCCAACTCAAGTAGTTGCACTTCTTAAAGCCCAGCAAATTCGACATGTCCGGCTCTTCAATGCAGATCGCGGCATGCTCCTTGCACTTGCAAATTCAGGCATCAAAGTTGCTGTTTCCGTGCCCAACGAACAGCTCCTTGCTGTTGGTCAATCAAATGCTACTGCCGCTAATTGGGTTGCTCAAAATGTTGTCTCACATTATCCAGCTACCAACATCACAACTATTTGTGTTGGTTCCGAGGTTCTATCCGCCCTTCCAAATGCTGCACCTATCCTCAACAATGCCCTTAAGTTCATCCATTCAGCGCTCGTGGCATCGAACCTGGATAGGCAAATAAAAGTTTCAACGCCTCTAGCTTCTTCCATCATCCTCGACTCGTTTCCTCCATCTCAGGCCTTCTTCAATCACACTCTGAAACCAGTATTAGTACCAATGCTCAAATTCCTGCAATCCACTGGTTCTTATTTCATGCTAAACGTGTATCCTTATTATGACTACATGCTATCCAACGGTGTTATTCCACTAGATTATGCTCTCTTCAGGCCCCTAGCCGCAAATAAAGAAGCAGTGGACTCCAACACACTTTTGCATTATACTAACGTCTTTGATGCAATGGTCGATGCTGCTTACTTTGCAATGCTTGATCTCAATTTCACTAATATTCCGGTTATGGTGACTGAATCGGGCTGGCCATCACAAGGCGACTCCGATGAACCTGATGCTACTTTAGACAATGCCAACACTTACAACAGCAATCTGATAAAGCATGTCCTAAAAAAAACCGGAACTCCCAAGCATCCCGGTATTGCTGTTAGTACGTACATCTACGAGCTATACAATGAGGACAATAAGCCAGGGCGTCTGTCAGAGAAGAATTGGGGATTATTTAATGCCAATGGCACGCCAGTTTATATTCTACGCTTGACTGAATCAGGGTCTATGTTTGCTAATGATACTTCGAACCAGACTTATTGTGCTGCCAAAGACGGAGCGGATTCTAAAATGCTACAGGCTGCTTTGGATTGGGCTTGCGGACCTGGTAAGGTGGATTGTTCAGCGTTGTTGCAGGGGGAACCGTGTTATGAACCAGATAATGTCGCTGCACACGCTACCTATGCATTTGATGCCTACTATCACATGATGGGTAGGGCTCCCGGGACATGTGACTTCAACGGGGTAGCTACTATCACCACAACAAATCCAAGTAAGCATTTCGTCCGTCTAGCCAAAAGTACACTTCGTTTTTGTTAGTTTCCTGTAGTATTTGATATTTAGAATTTAATAAAACGAAAACTTTGAAACTAATTATTCTTATGTCGTGTATATTGTTGCAGGTCATGGTTCTTGTGTATTTTCTGGAAGGTACTTATTATTTATGAACCGATGCTTTTTTGTGACATGTAGTTAATTAAAACATAACCTGTTTTAGCATCAAATTGGCAACAAGACAGGAACTAACTAATACAGTGTCAGCGGTTACTTTCACTTAATCTCTCTTCGTTTGAGTTCACAACTAAACTATTTGTTGTATGTTTTGTGCAGTCTTGGCAGAAATGGCACTTTTCTAAATGGCACGGCTCCAGCTATGGATTCTACGACTTCATCAGCTTCTCCTGCTCGGTATTTAAACAACAATGCCTATTCAAGAATACTGACAGTTCTGGGAATTCTTGTATGGAGCATGATTCTGTTGTAGCAAGGTAATACTCGCGCTGGTGCCATTGCAGAAGGTGCAACACGCGCATTTTTCTTTTCAAGAAACGAGGCTTGAGTTATCGTCGATCCCATTACCTTTTTGGAACAGGAAGTAGGTTTATTGATCTACAGATGCTGCATAATTTTGTACAAAGCCATGAGGAAGGCCTGTATGTAGTTTCTTTTGGTAGTGTAGGGGTGAAACATTGAACCACTTTACAATTCTTTACATTTGTTCTATTGGTTTCCTTATTATCATTGGAATTCCAATTTCTTTCTCTTGCCTAAATGCCTTTCTTATTCTTGTCATTTACAACCTATTATTTCACTATGCCTTTTCTATATGTACTCTTCTTTGCCATTATGGAAAATTACAACCAACTACTTGCAATTTTGTGATAATATCTCTAAATTTACCAATCCCAAATTTGTTCTTAGGACTAACTAACATAAATGAGCATACCGAAAAGGGCAGCACGGTACACTGATCTCCCACTATGTGCGGGGTCCAAGCAAGGACCGGACCACAGAGATCTATTGTACCCATTATGTGCGGGGTCCGAGCAAGGATTGGACCACAAGGATCTATTGTACGCATCCTTACCTTGCATTTCTGCAAGAGGCTGTTTCCACGGCTCTAACCCGCGCCAAGGCTTCCCTTCATAAATGAGCATATACTATTTTTACCAAATGTTATTTTCTTGATGAAGAATTGCTTCTCTTGAGCCACGGGTCTATCGGAAACAACCTCTTCTCTTCTGTCTTCTGCGACAGAGGAGTAAAGTTACGTACACATTACCCTCTTCAGACCCCACACTGTGGGAATATTTTGGGTAATGTTGTTTTTTTCTTGATAAAAATACAGAGAAGTTTCTTCGAAGAATCATTAGACTATCAAAGTAATTAATAGCTCTGCAACTGCTATACAAAAGAAGGTAATTGCGTTTTGTAGGAGGTGAAATTAACTCCACGCGTTTGTTGACTACAATGGAAAATAAATTTTGAGAAACTTACTATAAAAAGGAGGCTGAATTCTTCACAAGAACTTCAGAACTTGGCTAGAAAAATGGACATGTTAACCAGCATTTTACCTATATTACTGATTTTTATCTTTGTTGGTATATTCATTTTTATCAAAGAATTATGCACAAATAGTAGAGCTAAAGAAATAAGAGGAACCCCTTCTATTGTTGCTTCATCTTCTGTTCATGTTAATGTTTACGGTGGCGGCCAGACGGCCGCCAAGGAAGCTCCTCGAGCTGGCGGTGGAGCCGCCAAAGGTGGTGGTTCTAGAGGTGGTAGTAGAGTTGTGAATGATGGTTCAAAAGTTGGTGCGAAAGATGTTACTATAGTTATTGATAGCACAAGAGGTAAGGTAAATACTACTGTTTACTCATCAAATAGCACTGATAATAAATGTGGCCATAAAGAAGGCTACTTAGTCGGAGTCATTGTGAACGGTGGCACGCCCGGTGGTGTCCATGCCAATGGTGGCGTTGGTGGTGGCAACGATGGAGTTGGCAGTGGTGGTGTTGGTGGTCGTAGCGATATACTACTAAATAAGTAGCTAGAAAAAGAAAAGTGAAAGAAGAAAAAGATATAATAGTAAAAGAGAAAATGATAATTACTACAATTATGAACTTATGTTAAGGGGATAATTTATGGATCAATTCAGTTTTATTAAACATACATTATGAAATGTGAATTGTGAGTTACTTTAGTTCGTATTTCTGATTCTATAATTTTCTTGGTTCTGATCTTATGATTTTCGTTTATCATTCGCATTAGCTAAATTGCCTACAACACACCCTCTTGGGTGTGACCCTTCCCCAAACTCTGTGTGAACACGAGATGTTTTCTGCACTCGGCTTTCCTTTTTATGTGCGTCGAGACGCAGGGGCGGATGTAGAGCATGAAATACGGGTTCCCGGGAACCCAGTAACTCTTGCGTAAACCCTGTATTTATATTAAAAAATTCACTAAATATTTGTAAATATCTAACTGTGAACCCAATTATTATTGCATATGAATTCGGTAGGAACCCATAAGCCTCAAATCCTGGATCCGCCTCTGTCGAGACGTTAGGTAAATTTTTCGACGTTGAACGAAGTGAATCACTATTCTATAGAGGCAATTTATCGATAATATAATTTTGGCCTTTAATTTCCTCAAGAAGACTTTTTGTCGCCAAAATACTAAATTTGTTCCTAAGAACTTTAGATAACATAAATTGGCATAACGCTATACTTAGGAAATGTTATTTTCTTGATGAAATTACGTAGAAGTTTCCTGCAAGAATCACGAGACTATTAAATTAAATAGCTCTTAGCCAAAGAGGGTAATAAAATTAACTCCACGCGTTTGTTGGCTATAATAGAAAATAAATTTCTGATGAACTTATTATAAAAAAGAAGGCTCAGTTCTTTACTTCATAACTTGGTTAGAAAATGGATGTGTTGGACGTGTTAAACAACATTTTACCTATAATATTTTTTATCTTTGTTGGTGTATTCTTTTTTATCATTGGATTATGCATTAATAAGAGAACTAAGGTAGTTATAAGAGGAACTCCTTCTGTTGTTCCTTCATCTTCTGTCCTTGTTAATGTCTATGGAGGCGGCCAGCCTGCGGCCGCCGAGGAAGCTGCTCGAGCTGGCGGTGGAGCCGCCAACGGTGGTGGTGGTGGTTCTGGAGGTGGAAGTAAAGTTGTGAGTGATGGTTCAAAAGTTGGTGCAAAAATTGTTACTATTTCTATTGATGGTATAACTGGTAAGGTAAATACTACTACTACCACTACTGCTGCTACTCTTTACTCATCAAATAATGGCTCTGCCGATAAATGTGGCATATGTAAAAAGGCTATTTTGTTGGAGCCGGCTTCAGTTAACGGTGGTGTCCGTGCCAATGGTGATGGTGGTGGCAACGATGACGGGGTTGGCAGTGGTGCAACTGGTGGCGTTGGCGGCGGTGGTAGTCATGCTAAATAAGTACGTAGCTAGAGAAAGACTAGTAGAAGAAAAAAATAAAGAGAATGAACTTATGTTAAAGGAGGGGATATTATAATTTATGCTTCTTAAACATCATATGATCCAGATAATCTCCTTTTAATAAATCATGTAGTAGTATGTGAAATGTGAATTGCTTTAGCTTCGTGAATTGAGTTCTGATTTTTATGATTTTTTTTTTCTTTAGCTGGTGAACATTCTTCTCTCAATATCTTTTTTTTTTTTGGTGTATAATTTGTTATCGGATTTGTTCTTAAATTCAGCACCTTGGTTGCTCAATTGTTCACCAAACACGATAGCATTTGATTGCCTAACAATAGCAATTTTATCCCCTACTTGTACCGATGGAAAGTAATAACAAAATTGAAAAAAATAATAATGAGTAAGTTATTATCATTTTTATCGATTAATGATTGAACTTATTTTGTTGTAATTGTTTCTCTATTACTTCATTTTTACTGTTGTTAAGCCGAGAGTCTTTTGGAAATAACCTCTTTACCTTCATAAGGTCGGATAATGTCTACGTGTCACACCTCCTTTTTCCCGAGGGGATAGGGAATTTTTCCAATTAAAATGATATTAATCGAAATATGATTATTTATTTAATTCAGAGTCGCCACTTGAAATAATGGTGTCCCAAGTCACCGATTTATTTTAAATCCCAAATCGAGGAAGCTGACTCTTATTTATGATCCGCGAACACAGAAGACCGAGTAAGGAATTCTGTTAATCCGGGAGAAGGTATGAGGCACTCCCGAGTTCCGTGGTTTTAGCACGGTCGCTCAATTATTAATAGTTACCCTAATTATCTGATTTAATACATATTTAAACCTATGTGCATTTTTATTCCTTTTACCGCTTTTATTACATTACTGCATTTTAAAATTTTATGGAATTAATCTGAGACGAGTTACGTTGTCGTACACTCGTTGTTTATACACATCACAAATCGCGCCAAATAAGTCTCAGCTCTAAGTGACTCCTCTCGCTCGAAGATTTGAAGAGCGTGAGAACTCTAAGTTGTAGTCGTGTTAACGGAAGATTTGAAGCCGCCCGCCTATGATTTGAGTTCGCCTTTGGAATTTGACCATAGACGATGATTGCAGATATGGATGGAGACCTTGATGCTATTCTTTAGAGCTTCTTTAGCCTTTCCTTCTGCTTACTTGCTTGTCCCTTAGCCTTCTCCTTTGACCCCTTTATATAGGCGTGGGGTGGAGTAGTCTCCAAGAAAACCCTAGTGGATCATTGGGTTTGAGGCTTATGGGCCGACTTATTTGATAGAAGACCAATTTGCGGGCTAGCCCAATAATATATTGGACTTTTATATAAATCAATTCATTTTAGATTTAAATAATCGACCCGATTATACTAGCCCATAGTATCATTTGGACTAATATGTATTTAATACATGATGAAATCCAAATTACTTGTGGATTTAAATTTAATAAAATTTTATTTGTCTACAAATGCCCCCTGCTTCAAGGCTTGTCGGGATGTAGGCTTGCCGAAATGAATGGCGAGGCTTGAAGTACCGGTGATGATGACAATATTTCCCCATCATTTTGTAAGATACCGCACTGATAATTTTTTACATGTTCTATTCCGAAGAGTGAATTGACGTTATCAGTGATTGGAATTGGCAACTCTTTACTTCATTCAAAGTGAGCCAAAACAACCCCTAATAGCAAGCTTGGCTCTTGTAGCTTAATTCCCCTTCTCCAGTGAGAAAATAAATTTGGTGGCCTTTCTTATGTAATATCAACTCAATTAAAGAATAATTAAGTTCATATTGAACTAAGTCAAACACATCCACCCAGGACAAATTAAAATTTAAACCGCTGGATTTACGAGAAACATTTGGTTTATCACTTGAATTTCGGTTCAAAAGATATGCTTTCCTTGGAACATTTACTCAAAGAAAACTCTCACAACATAGTGCTCCTCCAATTTGGCTGCTACAATAATATATTTCTCTTACTTGTTATTTACTCCTATGAATTGGAGAGACTTCACATTGGCCAGCATTAGTAGTACCACAGAATGATCTTTATTACCTAGATGGTGATCAATTAGCAGATTTTATGGCCGTTTTTCCACTAAGAGGTGAAGCAGGCAACATAGGCCTTGACAAGAGCATAACAGACGAGGCAACATCCTGATCAACAACTCTCTGCCTAAGCTTCTTGGCTATATCTTCCCCAAGTTGCAAGTCCTCTTCTCTAATTTGCATTATTTGGCTATGAATATACGCACTCATCTTCTTTTCACTCCACTTTTTTGAAGGAGATGAGCTCACTCTTTCTTGATGCGTCTCAATCTCACAGTTTCCAAACGAGTATATCATTGTGGCAATTATGGATTCAACTATATATTCAGGATAGAATAAGGATGAAGTTTTGAGGCAAGCAAAGTGATGATAAAGAAAACAAAAGTATGCCGCTATATAGTTGTCATGTTACTTTGGAAAGTATGCCGCTATATAGTTGTCCGATGGCATCAAACATGAAAAATTTTAAAGCTTTTCCCACTTTCCCGTAACAACACTTGGGCTGACAATAATTTTCCTTTTCTACTTTGATTTCCTAGTTTCAAACCTATTCATGTACAAATCGGACATGATATTTCCTTATTTGCACATGTCAGTAGCTTGGACACCAAGTATTTCCTTAATTCCTTCCTTGCTGGTTCCTATAAATTGGTCACTTTCTCCTTGTATCGTTGCCATAGCAGTAGTCCTTCGCTCTTTGATGAAAGCAACAGTACTACCTTTTGGTTGGTTTTGAAGGTACTCTTCAATAGTTGGCAACGCAATCCCGTCGCTCGATTCTCCTAACGTTTTTTTTTTTGCAGCTGCTGCCAGGAATCTCAGCTTTGCGCGTCTTAACAAAAAAAAATCATATCTTGGTGTAGTGATGCCGAAATCACGAGCGGTTTGCGGCTACAGAAACTAGACTCGGAGTACTACAACATATCAAAAATTTGGATTTAAATTCGTATTGTATCATCCCAGGTGAGCTTCCTAATCTTGGTTCAAGTTCTGTCACGCTCGACATTTCAGCTTTGCGCGTCTTAACCAAAAAAATTATATCTTGGTATAGGAGCATCGAAATCACGAGCGGTTTGTGGCTACAGAAACTAGACTTCCAGAGCCACAATATAGGTAAATATCATAATCAGAATATGCTGCTATCTTCCCATAAATTTTTTCGAATTTAAGCAATATATTGTGACATGTTGCCCCTTTCAGTCTTGCTGATTTTCAGAAATTCTTCCCTTTTCTTTTTTCTTTTTGCAGACTCTCGGAGCAGCACATCGGACTGTGAATTCCATCAGCAGGGATGCATTTTACCGACCACGATACACCATATCCACACCTTGAGATTACTAGCGACAAGCAGAATCCGCGCGCCCGAGTTCTCGCTTTAAAAGTTCATCCTCCGGTGATAGGTGCTTTCGCGCTCGCTAGGAAGCTGCTTGACGCCTCCCTTGATCTTGCAGAATGGTCGACCAGAGAGATGAAGGATGCATTAGACAGATTTTCGGGCAAAGAAACCAACATGGAGGTCCTACTTTTGAAGTCCTCCACCCATCAGAAGGTCGCGTCTGCTAATCCTACTCATCGTGATCACGATGGACGTCTCGCCACTTGGAGTGTTCCTCCTTCCGGCTTTGGTGAAGTTCGCTATACGTCCAAATATTGGGAGTGGGTAGAAGATGTTCTTGCCCGCAACAAGTTGACTCTGGATGGCATCAAGGTCTATGACACCATCTTTGCTTCGTTGTTCACATATGACTACAATGAGAATGTCCTCCGTGCCTTTTGTGAGCTTTGGCGTCCATCTACCAACACAATTTCTACCTCTATTGGTGAACTCTCCATCTCTTTGTGGGACTTGCGAGCAATCGGAGGCCTTCCGGTGCATGGGTCCTTCTATGACGAAGTTATCCCCTCGGCTAAGGAGTTGACACAAGCGGACAATCAAGGAAAACCTTTCCTCCCAAGAAGTTGTCTGCACCTGTTCTCGGCATTCTACAAACTCATGAAGGATGATGTCCACGAGGTCTCCATTCGTGATTGGGTGGAGTTTTGGTTTCGAGGTCCGAGTAGGTATGCCAAGCCTCCGCAAAAGTCATCAAGGAATCGGACTACAAGGCCGAAGTTGAATCATAATCCTTCTAGGAATATTGACACGAGCTTCCTACCACGAACCGGTGAGGAGAATGCCCCCTTTATTGAGCTTGGCGTGGAGGAGTCACTTAGAGCTGAGACTTATTTGGTGGCTTTCCTTGCATGTTGGCTTTGCAAATTTGTGTTCCCCAACAAGAAGATCGACTACATTCGTGCTAGTGTCTTCCAAATCGCGAGTTTGAAGGCTCATGGAGAGAAGTTTTCCTTGGCGGTTCCCGTCCTTGCAAGTATTTATCATGGCTTGAAGGAGGGCTCCACTTCTCAAGATTTGGGCGCCTGCAAAGCACTCTTTCCTATTCATTTTGTATATGGATGGATAGGAGCATATTTTGAAACCTACTATCGTGTTAAGCGTCCACAACGAGGTCCGCATATGTGCAAGGTTTCTGGAGAGAAGATGGCCAAGCATTTTGACCTTAGTAATGCCCGTGAGTTGTTTCAACAAGTTAGTGCGTGATAGCTTCACCATTTGGCTATGCTACAAGGGAGGGAATTGCATCTTACGGATCATGACGAACAATCGAATTCTTGGAAAGACTTTTTTATAAGTCTTCGCTCAAGCTTCATCACCCTTAGGCATGATGACATTCATATTGTGGAATCTTATAGCCCGCATAGGTTTAGTCGTCAATTCGGCTTTTGTCAAGATGTTCCTGGCAAACTCATAGAGCGACCCTATGACGGCTCACTGAAAATGCTAGTGCAATTCTGGGATTCTTGTGTTCATCTTGGAGGTTCGTCAAAGGTTATTGTCCCTATGCGTCCATCAGAAGAGGGCCCTCTAATGACTCGTGACTATGCAGATTGGTGGTCAGCTCGTCGAGTGCACTCTTCCCGACAAAGTACTCATGTCATTTTGAAAGTTCCAAGGAAAGATGATATTCCTTTATCCTCCAAAGATGATCAACGTCAAAAGGGCACTCACGAAGGGTCTTCCAATTCCAAGTTAAGATCTAAAGATCCTTCGCCAAGCACCAAGGTCTTATCCAAGTCTACCCTTTCGACGAGCGGGGATGCCCATGTGGACAAAGGAGCTAAAGATGTTTTGTTGACTTCCAAGACAACTACTGCCACTGTGGAGGTGACGAACAATCCTTGCAAAAGGAACGCGCCTCCTACTTCACCAAACAAAAATGTTGCGAAGACAACCAACGTTGTGCCAATAAACAAGGAAAGGACTCAAGCTTCTGTTCTGCCTAATGAGTGTGAATGTTAGTGTAACTTCCAGCTCGAACGAGAGTGATGTTAGTCACGACATACATTGGAATCGTTCACAGAAGAAGGCTAAGGACACGAGCCATAGTGAGTTTGCTGACTTGGATGCTCTTAGTATCGATACTGGATTTTTCATAGAGGGTGACCCTGGCTCAACGATGCCGTTGTCTGAACTGGAGAAACGAGTAAATATTATATCCTTCAAATTTACTCCCTTTCTTTTCTTTTCTTTTTTTGAACACTAAAGGTTTTTTTTTCCAGTTGGGCGTCGATGAGTTGTATGATGATGTACTTGGTGACGACATGGTAGAAGACTGTGTTACAAGCCCAAATTCCCTCGGTGTGGCCGCAAAAAGTCCTCACACTTCATTTGATGGTGTTGAACATCATGCTGCAAACAATGCTCCGTCGACAGATTTGAGTCTACCCAAAGAGTCGCACCTCGTTCTTCCAGAAGATGCTGTGCTTTCCAAGCCAGCCATGACGAGTAAGATGGAGGTTGTCGCAAGTCAAGCAAAACGTCTAAAAGCCTTCGAGCCTACTCCATGGCTGTTGCATCTTGATGCTCCAAACTTCAAACCACAAGAGACTATTTCCCGTAATAAACTTTCTTTTGTTAACACGATGTGGCATACCTTGTGTGAATGGATCGAAGAGTTCTCTCTTGATTCTCTGGATAGCTTCACAAAGTTGGAGGAAAGTATTGCTTTGAGTCTTGAGGAAATTAAGAAAGAAAATATTATTGATACTTCTACTTTAGAGGCTCTTGTCGAGGCTTTCTTCAATACGTACGTAGATTACGATGCTTTAAGATCGTCCAAGATGACTAAAGAATTTCACCAAGAGTCACTTTCTGATGCACGACGACGCCTCGATGATGCAAAACAGGAATATGAAAAAGTGAGCGAGTCTGTAGAGAAACTTCAAGCCAGTCTTGCGAGTGTTGAACAACAGCTAGCTGCCTTGGCCTCCAGAAAGAAGAAGATCGTCGCGCTCTTGGGTAAACAACAGGTGAAGTTGGCTAAAAGTCAAGAGAACGTTGACGTTACCGAAGGGGAGATTTATACCATTGAAGCCAATCATCCATTATCTGATGATGAAGCAGAGAAATTATCCCTCCTGAAAGGGGCAGTTGAGACAAGCCGCCAACAAATCCTTAGCTTCAAACCTTTTCCATGATTTTAGAGTTTTTTCTCTCTCTTTTTTTTTAGCTTAGGATTCTCGACTTGCGATTTTTTTTTATAACTACTATCATGTAATGGAGTACTTATGTCTTGGAGCAATAAAAGTATCTTTATTTTTAATATGTGATATCTCTCTTTGAGACCTGGATTCCCTCCGTTACTCCCAATTATTTCTTTCTTAAATTTCAGCACATGTCTTGTATGTTGGCTTTGTTGCTTCGCGCGCTCTTGTTAAAGAAAGTCATATCTTAAGCTAGGAGTATCAGAATTACAATCCGTTTGCACCATTAGAAAGAAAACTCAGAGACCTGAAGTACCTGCAAATTTCATGGCAGAACCTTTTTCGGTCTGCCAACAGAAAATTCGCGAAGTGGATACAATGCAGTGAATTTTCAGATTTGCGTACCTTCGGCGAAAATAATTGTATATTGAGCTAAGAGTATCGGAATTACAATCCGTTTGTGGTGTCATAGAGTATACTCAGAGATCTAAAACTCATATAAATTTCGTAACAAAACTCCTTTAGGACTGTCAACAGAAAATTCACGAAGTCGACTCAACTGCAGTGAATTTTCAGATTTGCGTACCTTCGGCGAAAATAATTATATCTTGAGCTAGGAGTATCGGAATTACAATCCGTTTGTGGTGTCAGAAATTAGACTCGGAGATCTAAAACTCATATAAATTTCATAACAGAACTCTTTTCGGACTGTCAACAGAAAATTCGCGAAGTTGACTCAACTGCAGTGAATTTCCAGATTTGTGTACCTTCGGTGAAAATAATTGTATCTTGAGCTTGGAGTGTCGTAATTGCAATCCGTTCATGCCGTTAGAAAGTAGACTCAGAGATCTAAAACTCATATAAATTTCATAAAAGAACTCTTTTTGGACTGTCAACAGAAAATTCGCGAAGTCGACTCAACTGCAGTGAATTTCCAGATTTGCGTACCTTCGGCGAAAATAATTGTATCTTGAGCTTGGAATGTCGGAATTGCAATCCGTCCGAGCCGTTAGAAAGTAAACTCAGAGACCTGAAGTATCTACGAATTTCATGGCAGAACTTTTTTCGGTCTACCAACAGAAAATTCGCGAAGTTGACGCGACTGCAGTGAACTTCCATATTCGCATGCATATAGAAGTCTTTGCGGCATAAGACCTTCTGGATTAGTCAAAAATCCAGATCATGTATTGCTTGACCCTTCAGAACCCAAATTAGAAATTTCATAGTCAGGCCACATGATGGGGGAACAATTCACATTAAATTCAACTACGCAAAGCTTTATGATAGCATCATGTCTTGAAGAAATGAAGCGAACTTGGAAAGGCATTCAAGACAAGATAGGGACAATCTTTCTCGTCAATTGCTTTTATGACTTAGATTCTTCGTATAGGTCGAAGTATAAATATTTTTTTCCTTTTAGTCTCTTGACAATGATGTATCAGATCCTTGTAGCATTGAAGCAATGAAAGGTCCAGTTTGGCTCGACACAAATTGCCTTCTTTCTTTTTGCAATATGCGCCTATTTGAGTAATCAACGTGATGCTTCAGCTCGAATTTTGATGATCATGTCACGTTGAAACACACTTTTTTTTAGCTTATGTGATTGAACTTAGAATGAAACTCTAAGCTGCCTACGTACCTCGGTGAAGAGGATCAAATCATAACGTAGTTCAAAATAAGTGAGTTTTTTTTTGTCCTAACTTTTGCCTAGGCCGCCTCTTTCGAGGTTTTCAACCTAGCGGACTCCTTTTTTTTTTGGGGTGCCGTTCGCAGTTTAGGCTCATGCGGGCCAGGAGCATTGCAACATGCAGTTTAGACTCTTGCGTTAAGGGGCGTAGCAGCATGCAGTTTAGGCTCGTGCATTAAGGAGCTTCACGACTTGCAGTTTAGGCTCGTGCGTCGAGGAGCGTTTGTTCTTCAAGGATAGTACCTCTTCAAAAATTTCCCGTTGATAGGGCCAATTCTCATGCCATCTGCATCAACTAACTTGTAAGCTCCACTTGAATAGGCTTCTTGCACAACATATGGACCATCCCACTTTGAAGTGAATTTGCCCCCAGATTTGCGAGAGGTGATAATAGGTCTTCTTACTGCAAGAACTTGATCGCCAACTTGGAAGGACCTTAAGCGAACCTTTTTGTTGAAAGCACGAGAAAGACGAGCTTGATAACATTCAAGACTTTGTTGAGCTTCTAGCCTTTTTTCATCAAGGGACTCAAGTTCTTCAAGGCGCAGACGAGCATTTTCTTCTTCAGTAAGACCTTCTTGGACAGCGAGTCGCAAGGACGGTATTTGACGCTCAAGAGGAAGAACTGCTTCGACTCCATAAACAAGAGAATAAGGAGTTTCTTGAGTCGGCGTGCGATGAGTCGTCCGATAGGCCCACAAAGCTTCTTCCATTCTGTCATGCCAATCTCTTTTAGACTTGGAGATGACTTTCTTTAACAAGTTGCAAAGTGTCTTGTTAAATGCTTCGGCTAGTCCATTTGCAGCAGCATAATACATTGACGAATTACGTTGCTTGAAGCCAAAAAGTTCACGGATCTTGGTCATCAATTTGTTATCAAACGGTTTGCCATTATCTGTTATTATATAACTAGGAATGCCGAAACGATATATGATGTTCACTCGAATGAAGTTTGCAACATTCTCTTTCTTCACTTCCTTGAGAGCGACGGCCTCGGCCCATTTTGAGAAACAATCAGTTGCTGCCAAGATGTATAGATGTCCTCCAAAAGATTTTGGAAGTGGTCCAACAATATCTAATCCTCAAGCGTCAAATGGCCAAGACGCAACAGTAGGGTGTAACATTTCAGGCGGTTGGTGTATAAAATTTGCGTGAAACTGGCAAGCCTTGCATCTTCGAGCATAATCTAAGCAATCTTTCACCATGTCGGCCAGTAGTAACCCATCCTCTTAATATGGAAGTGGAGCTTCGGCCCGGATTGATGTGATCCACAAACTCCAGAGTGTGCCTCTTGCATAGCTTGAGTTGCTTCATCTTCCCCTAAACAACGCAAGAGAACTCCCTCAAATGATCTTCGATACAAAGTGTCTTTGTAGTAAAGGAAGCGAGGGGCACACCGACGAATTTCGGTCTTTCTTCTTGGATCTTCTGGAAGTATCCCGTAACATAAGTAGTCGATCATGATTTGTCGCCAATCAACCTTCACAGCTTCAGCGACGGCTACCAAACGCACGAGCTTGCTTTCTTCATCCTCATTCTCATCTGGCGGCACTACCCATTTTTGGCAGATAGTGATTTGTGTCTGGCCGGGAAGAGTCAATGCCGAAGCTAGAGCAGCTAAGGCGTCAGCTTTCTTATTTTCCTTCCTTGGCACATGCTGAAGAGTTACATTGCCAAGCCATCCAATCAATTTATGCGCATAATCATAATAAGGACGCAACTCTGGCTTTTTGACCTCGTAGCTACCTAGCAATTGATTGATCACTAACTCAGAGTCTCCAAAAATATGTAATTGGAGTTGTCTCATATCAACGGCCATCTCAAGCCCAAGTATGAGCGCTTGATATTCTGCAACGTTGTTGGTGCAATGTTGTGTTAAGGTGAAAGAATATGGCAATACTTCTCCTTGAGAAGTGACAAACATAACACCTGCACCAGCTACTTCACGATGTGCGGCACCATCAAAATACATTTTCCATGGTGGTGGCACTTCAATGACAATCGCATCCTCATCGGGTAGTTCATCAGTCAACTCCCAATCATCAGGAATTGGATGATCTGCCAAGAAATCTGCTAAAGCTTGTCCTTTCACAGCTTTTTGTGGGATATACACAATCTCGAATTGTTAAAATTGGAGGTACCACCTTGCTAATCGATCATTGAGGACAGGTTTTGACAAAACAAACTTGATCGGGTTCGCCCTTGAGACGAGACGGATGATATGAGCTTGAAAGTAGTGCTTCAGCTTTTGAATTGCGAAAACCAATGCCAGACACAACTTTTCGATCGGAGAATACTTCAGCTCATTTGGGGTCATCATCCTACTAAAGTAGTAGAGGGAATTTTCTTTGCTGTTACCATTTTCTTGGGCCGAAGGGGCTCCAACTGACCTTTCTTGGGCTGCAATATATAGAATCAATGGCTTTCCTGGTATAGGGGCTGCCAGAACCGGAGGTCTCATCAAGTAGGATTTGATGCTTTGGAATGCATTGCTACAAGCTTGGTCCCATTCAAAAGGTACACCCTTCTTCATGAGGCGGCTAAAAGGTTGGCACTTCCCTGCTAGATTTGAGATGAATCTTCTAAGGTACGCCAATTTTCCTTGTAGACTTTTCAGTTCATGTATATTTCTGGGCTCGGGCATTTTCAAGATTGCATCAACTTTGGCTTGATCTATCTCAATCCCTCGATGTCGAACAATGAAGCCAAGGAATTTTCCAGAAGTAACTCCAAAGGCACATTTCAACGGGTTCATTCTAAGTTGATATCTCCGCAGTCGTTCGAACACCATTCTTAAGTCTTGCAAGTGGTCTCCTCTCTTTCTTGATTTCACCACTAAATCATCCACATATCATTCCACATTCTTGTGGAGGATGTCGTCAAAGATATTCTGCATTGCCCTTTGATATGTGGCGCCAGCATTCTTCAAGCCAAAAGGCATTACTTTGTAGCAATAAATGCCTTTAAGAGTGCGAAATGCAGTAAGCTCTTCATCTTTTGGTGCCATACGTATTTGATTGTAGCCAGATGATCCATCCATGAAAGACATCGCCTCGTATCCGGTGGTGGCATCAATCATAAGCTCTGGAATGGGGAGCGGAAATTCGTCCTTAGGGCATGCATTATTGAGGTCTCTAAAATCGACACAAACTCGAATTTGGCCATTCTTCTTCTTCACAGGAACAATGCTTGAAATCCATGTAGGATATTTAACCTCCCGAATGAAACCAGCTTCGATGAGTTTATTGACCTCGGCTTCGATTGATGGGATCAATTCTGGCCTGAAGCGTCTTTGGGCTTGCTTAACAGGACGAGCTCCTTTCTTGACTGCGAGATGATGAACTGCTACTTTAGGATCTAAACCAGGCATCTCTTTGTAGCTCCAAGCAAAGACATCTCTATATTCTTTGAGTAGCTCCACATAAGTGCTTTCTTCATCTGTGGTTAATAGGGCACTTACATAGGTGGGCCTGAAGTCTTCTGCAGTGCCAAGGTTGACTTCTTTTAATGCATCAATGGTCATTTTAATTCCTTCTTCTAGTTCCGCAGGAGCGTCCTCGACATCTTTGTCTTCTTGAGGATCACCATCATTAAAAGATATATGGCCACACCAAGAGGCATCTCCCAAATTTTCGTCGACTTTCCTTAGGGATGAAGTGTATTGCTCCTCATTCGCAGTAATGTGTTATGAAGATCCTACACTTTTTTCATCTTCGTCACGCTCTTTAGTGTAGACCATTGTGCGAGTCTTCACTTTGAGTACCTCTCCGCATGAAATCAAATGTTTTGATTGTCGCCTCATTCTGTAAGGGATCAGGCTTTGACACTCTTTGGAGATGCTTTGATACTCTAGATGGCAAAGGTCTTCTTATTTTTTCGTAATTTCTTTGGGACTTGTTCTTCTTCTTTTTCAATGGCCCCAGCCTCTCAAATACAGAAGTTCTTGTAGTTGGTTCTCCAAGTCGATCAAAGATAGAAGGCCTTTTATTAGGATCGGTGGGTTCATCTTCCATCGTGATATAGTTAATACTTGCTCTTCTAATGGAGGTGCGAACTGGTGGGGGTTGTTTGTAACCTAGACCCTCACGTGATTGCTTCACCACATGCTCCTTATCCTTCATCGTGTTTGCTTTCCTAGTAGCTTCAGGTGGGAGCTTCCCTAGCTTATATGGTTCGTTGGGATCATATCCAGCCTTTGCGAACAACCTGTAAGCATTCGGATCAAAACCTTCATTTGTGCGTTTCGTGGGGAGTGCCTTATTTTGAGGCATGTTAGGGGCCACAAACTTTTCCAGTAGCTTTGAAGATAACTTGATGGTATCAATCTGCTTGATAGGAAGGGTTAATTCTCTTAGTGCACCTTTTTGGAGGCTTGATGATTCTCCTTCATCTTTCTTCACTTTTGGGACGTAACGAAATAAAGGAGCTATTTTCTTGCCTGCAATTGCAACATTCTTTTTGTGAGCTTTCGAAACTTGGCATGCTTCTATTGTAACTTTATCTTCACTAGAAGCTACTTCAGCCCTTTTGGACATGATATTATCACCTTTGGCCTTCGTGATGTCATCAACTTTTACTCCCTTCATGATGTGGTTCTTCAAGTAGAACTTTGCATCAGCGAAGTATGCCTCAACTTCCGCGAATGGCTTGTCGTTAGCAACTATCTTCTTTTCGACTCCATCTTTATTATATTTCAAACATTGGTAGTAAGTTGATGGGACAACTTTGTTCTCGTGTATCCACGGCCTGCCAAGCAACAAATTGTATGAAGTCTTTGTATCAATCACATGCATCCATGCAGTTGATTGCATATCTCCCCATGGTGATTTCCAGCTTGATAGCTCTTATGGCCCTTTGTCCCCCTTGATTGAATCCTTGAATCATCAGTCGGCTTTCAGAAAGTTCTTTAGTTGAGATGCCGAGTTTTTTCATTATGCGAATGGGAAGAATGTTAACTGCAGATCCGTTATCTATCAAGATTCTATTTATCCTCCACTCGAGCACATAACCCACCATAAACAAAGGGCGATTGTGTGGTGTCTCACTAAGTAGGAGATTGTCTTCAGTGAAGGTAATTTTTGCATTACAGACATCTGCTTCTTGGAAAGAGGACTCAATGAGACTATTAGACAGTGATGGAGAGAGTGTTGACTTGACTTGGTTCTTTTCCTCTTCTTCTTTATCAGCATTATAGCACAAGGCCTTGTCATCAGCGTCAGAAATCCTCATGCGAAACCAACTCGGCAAAAATTCTCCCAAAGTCATCGGGCGGCGTGGCTTTTGGTGATGGTGTGTCTCTATCTCCACCTTCTTTGGGTTCTAAACCATTTGTAGCTTCTTTAGTCTTCTCACCATCTTATTCCTCATAGGTTGCTTCGTTGATCCTTTTTGCGGACTCAATTTACGGCGTCTTCGACGAGTCACCAGGGTCCAACCTTCTTCATCAGGTTGATCAACTCGGACTTTGTCATCCTCCAACAATTCTTCATCTTTATTCCCTTCACAGGTGCATATCTCAATCGGATCGAATGAGCCAAAGGCAATGGACACATGGTTTGTGCTCGCCTTTTCGTCTTCAAGCTCGATCTTCTTTTGACGAGCCAAATCCATAACTTTGTCCTTGAAGACAAAGCACTTCTCAAGAGGGTGACCTACAAGCCGATGGTATTTGCAGTAATTAGGGTCATTGCTTTTTCCAGCTTCATCTGGCTGCTTCATCTCTGGCAGCTCAATAAGCTTTAGCTCGAGGAGTTCTTCAAATATTGCAGGCACATCAGAGTCTAGAAATGGGTACTCCTTTTCTTGCATCTCTTTGAGAGTCAACTTCCGATTTGCATTGTCTTGAGAGGAAGTTGTTTTCATACTCTGTTTCTTGCTCACCTTGGTAGTAAACTTCAAAGGAGAGGCATTGACGTTCATGGATTCTTTGCTTTCATTCTTGGGTACGAACTTGCTCCATTTCTTGACTTCTTGCTTATCTCTTCCCTTGCGAGGTTCGTAGATGGGCAGCCCTTCATTTCCGCAGAAGCCATGCTCAACTCCATATCATGAGCACGGGTGGCAAGTTCTTCAAATGTCCTGGGCTTAATTCCTTGCAAGATGTAACGAAGTCCCCATTGCATTCCTTGGATGCACATCTCTATACCAGAAGTTTCGCTTAGCCTATTTTTGCAGTTAAGGCTTGCATTCCTCCATCGGTTGATAAAGTCAATAACTGGTTCATCTTTTCGTTGGCGAGTGTTCGTAAGTTCCACCATGCTCACAGTATGCCTCGTGCTATAAAAGTGATTGAGAAACTCTTGCTCCAATTGGTCCCAACTATCAATGGATCCAGCCTCGAGGTCGGTGTACCAATCAAAAGCATTCCCCTTTAGTGAGCGGACGAACTGCTTGACAAGGTAGTCTCCATAAGTCCCTGCATTGTTGCATGTCTCAACAAAGTGCGCGACATGTTGCTTTGGATTTCCCTTGCCGTCGAACTGCTGAAATTTGGGAGGTTGATAGCCGGCATGCATCTTCAAGCTATCGATTCTTGCAGTATAAGGCTTTGCGTACGTGAGAGAAGACTTTGAAGTCACCTCATACTTATCTTTGATAGTTCCCATAATGAATTCCTTCAATTGTTCGATGGGAATTGATCCTTCGGAGGAGACATGAAGTTCTTTGGCGGATGACACTTGTTTTGTTGGAGGATCAGCCTTCTCGTGGACTTCAGGGAGCTTTCCAGGTGCATGACTTGATTCTCCATCCATCATGCTTTCAACTATGCCTGTCAATTTTGCGATACGGACATCTTGATCTTGAGCATACTTTGTTAAGCCATCAATCGCCTTTGTCAGGTTTGCGAGTTGCTCCTCCATTGTTAAAGTGTTAGTCATCATTGCCTCCATGATTATTGCAGATGAAGAAGAATAACCGAGACCTTCCCACGGATTGAACTCAGTTTGGAACATGTCATGTGGCGAGGTTGGCGTAGAACCAACACTTAAGACTTCATCATCAGGTTGGGTAAGCTGACTCTTGGTATTGTATAAAGTAATGTGAGCAAGAGCTTTCTCCACAACTTCTGCAAATATTATCTCCTCTCTCTGACTTGCTAGCAGAGGACCTTTCTTCTTCGGATGATGAAGATCTCAAAGCGTGCATTGGTGCAGACGACACTTGGAGTGCTTGTTGTCTCAAGACGCTCGCCTTGCTCCGGGTGATTGGCCTAAGACTCCCCATAGTAACGTTCAGGATACTTGCAACGTCAGAAGAAAACTTGGAGTCAGCAACTTTTGAGTCGATCTTCTTAGAAGCCATCTTAGTGATCTTGAATGTTGAGAGTTGAGAAGAGATGAGAGGTAGAGATAGTCCCACTGGGCGTGCCAAAATTTGTAACAACTAAATTTCGCTCCTGAAAAATAATAATCAAGACAAGAAATATAGCGACAAATATTATATTAATTTCAAGTGATGGGGTTACAATCTCTAAAATATCTCTAAAATCTAAAGAGATGTAGTCCTCTGATTCTCCTCCTCACGGATGACGGTTCAAGAGCTCGAGAGCTTGATCTTGAACTTGCGGATTTCAGATTTGTAGTACGTCA